TTAACATAATCCAAGTTGTCTGATACTTGAGTCGATGAATGGGTCAGTTTTTGAACTTAAAGATTTCTTTTAGAGTAAATCTTTTGATTACAACTTCAGTTCTTCCAAACTCTAAGGTAGAATAAGGCATTTACAATACCATGTGCAAGTTTTACATTTATAAAAATAAAAATAAGAATTATGGTCCTAGGTAGAACTGAATCGATTCATTCACAGTCATACAGGTTAAGAAACAGCTCCAGTACCCACACAAGTATGAGTTTGTTCACTACTCCATGCAAATTAACACAAGTACTGAAAGCAATTGTTTTGTCTTCATGAACCAGTACAGTGTGGCATATCAAACAAGACTTGTCAATGCTTAGAGTATGAAGAAGAGAATGACGCCCAAAATTAGCATAGAATAAAAGTGGTGCTGCAATACTACCTCAAAAGACTTTAGGCCACTCGAGACCCCCAAAACCACTTCTATTGCATTGCTTAATGAGAATCCCAACATTTTTGCATAGCACTCAAGCAAAAGCTTCAGTTCTGAGGGGACTTTAGGGTCAGATCTTGTTCCATTCACCTCGAGATTTTCCTTGAGTGAAGCTGAAGCGCTTTGTATGGACAGATAAATCATCCGAGGAAGAAGAGATTTCCTTTCAATAACCCTCCGTACATTTGCTTCCCTTTCTTTCATCTAAATTTGGAACCAGCAAAATACAATTTTAAATTACACAAGTTAATCACAAAATTAGATAAGTCATGTTATTAATATAGAGTAACTTCATGGAACCAAGTTCACCAAATCACCAAATATAATATGCATATTACAATCGTACAAGACAGAATTTCATACCGTGTTCTCTCTTGGACAATAGGATATTCCTTCGAAAGGGCCTGAGACCATAGATAAAATTTTAACTTAGTTCTAGAAACTATCATAAGAGGAGAAAACAAGAACAACACAATAATAACATAAATTAAAGTACAAGAATTTAAATCAGATAGCATATAATGCTCCACTCTTCATATAGGTTGAACAAGTATCTGACATGAGAATTTAAGATTGGGGAAACAATAATTACTCGGATCTTGATTAGGCATAGATCAACAAACACACACTTCCTCCACTCTTCATATAGGTTGAACAAGTATCTGACATAAGAATTTAAGATTGGGGAAACAATAATTACTCGGATCTTGACTAGGCATAGACCAACAAACACACACTTCTACAAGGAAGTCTCCTAAACTTTGTTCTTATAAGATAAAGTGCATGCAATACTAACCTAAAAGATAGTTTCTTTCTGATGTTGGCGCCCACCATGGACGTGACTGCAAATCTTCATTGAATGTCAAAGATTTGGATCCAATCTCATTAGAGAGTTCAACAAAGTGACTTCCGCATTTCAAGCTTTCAAGAACAGTCTAAAAGAAAAATAACATAAACCTGTTATCTATCATAAGGAAGCACAGGCACTCCATGCAAAAGTTGCAAACATACATTACCTCTTCATCTTCAATGTTATCTGCATTCTGCTTTAACTGTAGAATGGGTGCTTCAACCCTCGCCACTAGATACTGATTAGAGTGTTGCAATCGTTCTTTAAACTGGACAAATTCAATTACCTGGAAAAAAATATATTACCCTTGGTTTTGAAAAATCAAAATTTTAGTCTCAATATTAAATACAAGGTGCCAAGACCATCACTCCCCTCCCTTTGGATATGCACGACACTTAAAATGCCTGAAATCTTACGCAATTGCATAAAAGATGGAGCTGAGTTTTAGTGACCACATTTTTAAGTAGGGACTTGATTATCAATACGGAAAGAAAACATCAAGAGAGAGAGAGAGAGAGAGAGAGAGAGAGGGAGAGTTTCCTCCAAAACTTCGAGAAGGTAAGAAATGAACAAAGGAAAATATGCAGGGTTAATCTTATACATTGTCCAGCATATATATAGATTGGTAAAGCATATTAAGTCATGATATAGATATTTAAAGAATACACATAAACTCAACTTCAAATACAACCGGGAGTCTTATTTAAAAAACATAGAGTCATGTATGTTGTGTTATTAAGAACAAGAGCAGGTATGAGATGAATATATGCATGCTGAAAAATATGTTGTGTACTTTTGAGTAATTTCTATGCCGATATGCAAGAAATGTAAGGTCTGCAGATTCTCTTAAGTGGTCATCCATAAACTTGAGATAATCCTTTAGCAGATTATTTAGATCCGCCCAAAGAGGAGACACCAACATCTGGGGTAAAATATGGTGTGAAACAGTTTCCATCAAGATATTTTTCACATCCAGTGATTTAAACCTAAACAGGGAAAAAAAGGAGTAAGGCATAGACTAAAATGTAGTAAATACAATATAAAAAATAAAGCCCAGTCATGGCCACTACTAAATTCTAGGGATACATTAATAATTATTTACCATTCATATGCTAATGAAAGGGCACCTAAGTGAGAGTACAAGTGCAGCAACAAGATCTTGTACTGCCATACATATCTGCCAAACAAACCAGATTAAAAAAAAATGTTATAAACAAATATATAAAGATTCCTTAAAATAATAAATATAGAGATCAGACTGAAAGCTAAAATTTTAATACAATGGAGCTCAAAAATTTAAAAATATCTAAAACACTAACAAATTATTTCCTAATGGACAAATCACGTAAATGTTTATCTATGAATACAAAATCATGCACAATTCCATTAACACGGAAGAAGTTCTATAGCAAAGCATCATTATTGGTTATGCACATGAAACCATGAAGCAAATAAAATTGCACTAAGGCTCCATTTGTTCAACTGGAAATTGGAGGCCTTGTAGACATGCATATTGCTACCATAGTGATGAGGATGTTCTATGTGATAGGAGAAGGAAAAAAGATAACATATTATACTTGATGCAATGGACCGTAACATGGAGGTTAATGCTAATAAAAATGAAAATAAAAATAACGACAACAAAAGTCCTCACCTTCTAATGGTCACACCAAACTCCAACACCATAATTGCCTCAACAAAATAACCGAAATTCTTAGTACGCCAGAATAACTATACCAAAAACCAATAAAAGTCAGACCAGCCGCAATTAAAATATATCTATGAATTGGGAAGTAAACATGTACACCCTCAAAATTGGTTTTAGTTCAACAAAGCCAGGAAAAAATGCACACTCAACACGAAAGAATAAGCTTGTACATTACATACCTGAATCAACACATTGCACGCCATTGATAGCAGCTCCTCCCCATGCATATACTCTTGTGAATCCAAGTCCTTCGAAAGTGGAAGGTTTTTGCAATACATCTCCACCATCTGCACAGCAGATCCCTCAAGTTCTGAGGAAGTATGGCTAAAGTTAATACTCTATGACTCAAATGGATAACTCAATAACAGAATTCTTATTGTCAAACACATAGTTAAAACAATCAGTTGAGTATACCAAACTGAAGACAAAATTAAGAAACTACCAGGGGAAATGAAAATACAATTGCAAAATATTGAACATGAAATAGAATTGACGAAATAGGACACCGAAATGAAAATTCAACACCAGCAACCAGGTTTATCAACGTTCATGTCTAGGAGTTATTATGTGTCAACTAGTTACCCTATTCGGCATCTCTAAGTTGCCATATATCAAAGGCATTAGTCTTTCTCTTATGCTAAAGAAAAAATCACTAAAAGAAAAATTAGGAGCTAAAATCTACAGAGACCAGAAAGTCCTCAATGGAAGACCAAGAAACAGCGAAACTGGCATCAACTAGAGTATGAAACCAAAATGGACTTGAACGGAGAATATGACTCTCATAATCCCGAAAAGGCCATTCCATTCCTCTCCCTCCACAAATACTGCATAACATCATGAAGAATAGCTCCCAGCATTGCAATATTATGAAGCCCACCAAAACCACCCAGCCAACAGCCAAGAAGTGCCACAACTGACTTGGGCATCAACAAACAATTGAAAAACAAAAATTGGGACTCCCTAACAGAACAGTGCAAGCAAAGATGATCTACTGTTTCATTACTGCCTTTAGACAAACAACGCCAATCCAAAATAATTATGATATTCCTAGTGCCTCTGAAGATTATGAGTTGTTCAAATCTTCCCAAAAAAAACGCATCCCACAATAAACACCCACTTGTAAAGGGCTTTACAATGCCAAACGGACCCCATGGAAAGCCTACACCCTGCCCTCCTCTAAGAGTAGACATTAAGATTTAACATCAAACTTACAACTACAATTCAACAACCATCCCATCCTATCTGCTGCATCTCTTCTAACCTTAACAGATTAAAGCAAATCCATTAGAGACATCTCTGACAACAATTATCTCTTGCACAGCTCTCACAAAAATAAGACACCATTTAATGTGCCTACAACACCATGTCATATAATCTGCAACCCGTGCACCCACAATTATGCGCGATATGAAATTTTGGGAAAAAGAACCCTCAGAGGAGACTCCTCCAAGAAAATCAAGTTAGAGGAATAATCCCACCCCTTTCATAAATTAGAGGTATTTTCTAAGCAAATGTCATAAGGTGCAGTTGAGGAAATACAACAGATGCAAAATCAAGAGACACACCACCCACAGGAAGCTTGAACATGTTTCCGATCAACTCTTGAATTTTAAAGAGTGTTATTGACTGCCCAAGCACTTTTGTTGGCTCAGTTGAAAGGGAGCCAGAGCTTTCCTTTAACTTCCCCAGGAGTTCTGCCTTCTTATCAGCGGTTAAGACTTCAAGAAACATCTCAACATCAGAAGTGAAGCATGCCAAGTGACCAAACCTGTGTTGGAAATAAATCAAATGGCAAAAATGAATCAGCAGTGTATGTGCATGATTTTCTAAAATAGATTAACAAATTGTTACAATAAGCAAAAGTACATATCACGATAAACCAGCCTAGTGTTGAAAACAAAATGACTGCAGTATTATAAAACATATAGTTAAGTTAATGATTTGTGTAAAGTTGATGCGGGAGCATCTATTAGACTTTCCTAATCTAAGTGGGCATCAGCCAATAAGGCTAAGTTTTAGTTATATTAAATTAATAGGTTATTTTATTACTTGTTTTCCTATTCTTACTAGGATTTGGTTTAATTTCCTGTTTAGGTTTTTAATTCCTATTTCAATTAGGTTTTCTATATTCTAGTATAAATAGGCTATTAAGAGACTCTTGTATTTAGTTTTGTTGATGAATATAATTTCAGACTTTAGTCTATAGAGTTTCTATTGGGATTTTGCCCTAGAACTCAATTATCTTCGTTCCAACTTCGATTCTATTGCTTTATCCTTCTATTCTCTATATTTTGGGTATGTTTGCGTCGCTGGACAGCAGCTTATAGCCGCTGCCCTGCATCAAATTGGTATTAGAGCCTAGGTTAATCCTTGTTCCACAGCATGGTTGGACGTGCTAGAGGTCGTGGACGAGGGAACCAAGCCCAAAACACAGAGATGGCTGAGATGCGGCGTATGATGGAAGACTTGTCGAGAGCGGTGCAAGCCCTCCAACGACAGGAACGAGCGGATGCCTATATGGAGATTCCGGAACGCAACCGCGGACCCTTACACATACCGGAAGGTGGTGGTGAGGATGAATATGAAGACGAGACGGATGTCGACAAACCTTTTCATGAAGCTGGAAACCATGCTGATGGTCATCGAGGTGGATTGGAAGAACGGTTAGTTCGTGCGTTGGATTTGAATGGTGGAGGAATTAAAATTGAAGTTGTTGATTTCTATGGAAAGATGCATGTCGAAGATTATTTGGATTGGGAGGCAAGTCTAGAGAATTATTTTGAATGGAAGCCTATGGCAGAAGATCGCAAGGTGTTGTTTGTAAAGCTTAAATTGAAGAGTACCGCGCTTCAATGGTGGAAGAGAGTTGAAGAGCAGCGTGCTCGGCAAGGGAAGCAGAAGATCAACACATGGGATCGTATGAAATCCAAGTTACGAAAGCAGTTTTTACCAGCTGATTATACCATGGAGTTATATGAGCGGTTTCATAACTTAAAGCAACGAGACATGTCTGTTGAAGAATATACGTCAGAGTTTAATAATCTCTCAATTCGAGTTGGTTTGAATGAGACTAATGAACAGATGACATCTCGTTATCTTTCTGGTTTGAATCAGACAATTCGAGATGAGATGGGGGTGGTCCGTTTGTTCAACCTTGAAGATGCTCGACAATATGCTTTATTGGCAGAGCGAAAACTATTGCGTCATGGTGGAAAGAGAGCAGTTTCTAGCTGCCCAGACACGGGTTGGCAAAGAGATACTGTTGCTGTTCACGGCATCCAAAGTGATGAAGAAGCCAATCCAAGTACCCAAATAGGTGGTAGGAACTTGGGGGTTGATAAGAGTGAAAATAGGGAGGAAATAAAACAATTTCATCCTCCAAACAGGGGTAATGTCAGGAATTCCACGGCTGGAAGTCCTTCACAAGCTCGATGTTTCAATTGCGGAGAGGCGGGGCATAAATCTTACGCTTGTCCACAAAGAAGAATAAATTTGGTAGGTACTAAGATCAACTTTCCAGAACCAGCGTATGATGTTTATGGCAACGAAGAGGAAGTTATTGATCTCTTACCAGTTGAAGGAGAATGTTTGTTGGTAAGGGGAGTGATGACAACTCCTAAAATTGAGGAAGAAGACTGGCGCCGACATAATATATTCCGAACACGAGTCCTTTGTGGGGGAAGGGTGTGCAACGTGATTCTTGATGGAGGAAGTAGTGAAAACATTATCTCAAAGGAGGCGGTAGAAAAATTGAAGTTACCAATTGAGAAGCATCCTAATCCCTACAAGGTTGCATGGTTTCGAAAAGGAAGCGAAGTACCAATCACTTCAAGGTGTTTGGTTAAATTTACTATTGGTAATACCATTGAGGATGAAGCTTGGTGAGATATTGTTCCCACAGACGCATGTCATATCTTATTGGGAAGACCATGGTTGTTTGACAAAGACATGATGCATTCCACTAAAACCAACACCTATTCATTCTATAAGGATGGGAGAAAGTGGACTTTGCAACCGCTTGAAGAAGGATTCTGCCATGAGTTTGACATTGAGAGCAAGGAGGTGGCGTCTGTGTATCCACTTGTTACTAAGAAAGATGTTGAGGGAGCTTCGAATAAATTAGAAGATGACAATATCCTAAATTTAGAAAACCCTCCCGTGTTTGACTGTTGTTTGGAAGAAGACTGTGAAGTTTGTTTGGGAATTGAGCAAGCTTTTGACAAGGTATTTGGTGATAGTAAACAAGCTAAATCTAGGGTAAACTTGAAGGCAGTGAATCACGAAGAAGTTGGGTTTGAACTTTTGAAGCAACACAATCAACCCACGTTTGAAGGAAAGGTGATTGAAGAAATTCTTGAGGGAATTGTTGGAGAAGAGATGAATTCCTTCAAAGGTGATACTTATGAGTATGCTGATTTTCTTGGGGTTGATTCTTTTAATTTGCAAACTACCAAGAACGTCATTGACCTTGTCAGACTACTAGTTTTTGGCGTAAAGAGTTTTTGGGCTGAGAGCTTGGCTGCAGAAGATACCTGGTACTGTTCCAGAAGGATCAAATATTCTAAATATCTATTTCTTTGGAGTGGGAAGGTTCAATATCAAGGCCAAAGTTCTACGGACAACTTAACTAAGAGGAGGTTATGTCTAGGCGGTTTTCACCAAACGATTGGAATTCGAGGAAGAATTCTTCCCAACCCGGTGGAGTTGATGCGGGAGCATCTATTAGACTTTCCTAATCTAAGTGGGCATCAGCCAATAAGGCTAAGTTTTAGTTATATTAAATTAATATGTTATTTTATTACTTGTTTTCCTATTCTTACTAGGATTTGGTTTAATTTCCTGTTTAGGTTTTTAATTCCTATTTCAATTAGGTTTTCTATATTCTAGTATAAATAGGCTATTAAGAGACTCTCGTATTTAGTTTTGTTGATGAATATAATTTCAGACTTTAGTCTATAGAGTTTCTATTGGGATTTTGCCCTAGAACTCAATTATCTTCGTTCCAACTTCGATTCTATTGCTTTATCCTTCTATTCTCTATATTTTGGGTATGTTTGCGTCGCTGGACAGCAGCTTATAGCCGCTGCCCTGCATCAAAAGTGCATCAACTTGATCATTCTAACGGCCACAATGAACAACACAAGGAAAGCATATGAGTAAGTTGGGCAATTCCACGTGAAAACTATGGAGAATATAGGAAAGCTGTAATATACCTGACAAAGTATTGGATTAGAGCATCTAAAAACTTCTCATCGTCCCCCTTGCCATGTAAGTGCCTCCTCCTTTCAATTTCAATATTTGCCAAGTATGGACACCTTACAAAGTTATCACCAATGTTTTCTAGTAACTTTAGTACAAATTCCGATGCATTTGACATACGAGAATCAAACTGCATTTCAATTCGCAATAATCAAATTCTGTACAAAAGATTGCAGCAAAGCTCTGCTAGAAATATGCATATCAGACAATGAAAACACAGAGGTAAACATGCACCAGCGCCATTTCACTGTTTATTAGCAGATCCAACACACAAAAAATAAAAACAAAAAGAAGCGTAATTTGTACCATTTCGTCTGCCAAGCTTGAAATCTTGCACTCAACAAATTTCGGAGGCTGAATTGGATCAGTGTTGTCCCTATTACACCAATTGCTGTCATCCTCCAGCAAACAGCCTAAGTAATGTAGGAAACACTCCCAATCATCAGGACTGCCAGATGAAAGAAACAATATGAAAGTTCAAAATCAGTAAATGAAAATAAAGTGACCAGAACGAGAAAAACATCATATCAAAGCCCTGGATAGGAACAGGGAATCAATATCTGAATAACTTTTCTTCAGTAGACATATAAGTTCAATATGCTGAATCACTGATACAGTACCAAATTTCAGTATTGTGGTGAACACATATGGACAAGGCATGAATCTAGAAAGTAGAAAAAGAAGAAGAATGGATAACAGGGGGAAGGGTAATGTCTTGCATGCAGCTAAGGAAAATTTAGCATCACTAACTTGAAAGGAGTGCATAGAAATCCCATCAACCCTTTTTAATAAAGCCAAAATCAAAATGAACGTAGCCAACCAGCAAATAATCACATAGGCAATATATGAAGGCATGCAAAAAAGATTCCACAATCATACCATAATTCTAGGATCTTTTGAAATATGATGGCAGCAGCAGTGTAGTCACCTGCCCGAGCAATAAGCCTCCCCTGTCAACTTAAAGTCAAAGTGGACAAGTTGGTAAGAAAAGCAAACAAGTGAAAGATCCATTCCAGCTAGTAGCTACAAGATTTAAAAGTTTTGATCGACAAAAGAACCTCAAACAGAGTAAATGGGTTATATGCAATCCTATACAGTGCCTCATAGGTGTACTGTGGGACACAACATCATGGGAAAGTAAGACTATCAAAACTTCTAAAAGCTATAATGTAGGCTTCTTTTGTATTTGAAGGAGTTATTTCTTTACAGTAAACTAATAATTCAGCTATTCATCACCTCATTAAACTAGCTGAATCTTATCAAAAGCAAAACTTGTAAGGCATTCCAATTTTCACAAGCATTGAATTATTTTAAATTCATGCTAATTCTATGCAAGTTCAACGTACTTTTCTATGACAAAAGTGTCACTCTAGTAACTGAAATATGAAAATTTGCTGCATAAAACTCGTTTCCTATAGAAGTCTCAACATTAGCAAACAATAATAAAACTCGTTTTCTATGACAAAATTTGCTGCAGTTTCAACATTAGCAAACAATAATATGACTAATACTTATTGCATCAAACGACCAGCATGCTTCCGAAAGCCCTCTTCCAGTACGAGTTATCACTCAAATTGAGTTTTATACATTTTTATGTGGTTTTTTGGCACATATCCATGTTTTTTTTTTATCTCATTACAATTCTCTTCCTAAATGAAATTTTCTTTTTAAAAAAAAGGGCAAGGACATGTGGAAACATTTGTAGATACATACTCCATAGACATTTAGATTCAAATTTGAGAAAGAGACGATCATTAATATCCATCATTAAGAAATGAAAGCGTTAGAAAGTACCTGTATTCGTAGCTTATCAACTTCAACCATCAAAAGTGACCCTAATTTTCCAGAAAGAATTTCCAAAGCATCCCCATATTTGGCTTGTTGTTCCAATATGGAAACATAGACCATAAGAGCTGAAGCAAATTACAAGCCTTTAGTGCAGAAATAAACAGCGTCCAACGAAAGAAAATTAATATTCGATATAGGCAATGATAAAGAGTGAGAAAAAAGCCAAAAATCAACAATGTATACCTTCAGGCTCATGCAAGCTATGGGAGGCAACATGCTTCTTAATTAAACCTTCAGCTAAGACTAATAGCTTCTCTCCTCCATTACCACAAAAGACCTAACAGAATTTGAAGCCATGTAATATCAGCAAGTGTATAACATGTTTTTCCTTTATTGTGCTTCCCATTTGTTGCAACAAGAATCAACACGAAACACACATGATGAGAATTCCAGTAGAAAATGGCCGTAGTCATAAAGGGAACAAAACAAATTATGGCCCTTGTCTGAAAGATTTGTCCCGTGAGAATTCTTTCTCCAATACACAAAAATAAGGGCGCGAAGAAAGCCAGTATTACCTGTAACTGGATGCTACACACTGCCCATAGCAAGAACCTCTCCTCTCCAACAAGTTTGTACATTTTTATAGCTGTCTGCCATAGATACAATAGAATAAAAATATATATACCATCAAATCATACAAAAACAATAGGCACGGAGACACAGATTTCGTATAAAAGAAGAGACAAAGCAACCTGTTGCTGCTTTACGAATGAGTATTCACGAACATAGCAGTTGAAAAGCCCCATCATGAGCTCCAGATTGTTGGCAAATCTCCCGCAAGCATATTCGTAACAGCTCGTAGCCATGTCCACTGGTTACAAAGAAGACAGTAAGGCATTTGGCAATGTGTGCGTTCTGTTCTTGCTACAGACGCTACAAAGATTTATATATATATATATGCATATACTGACAATGATCAAGCCGTTGGAAAACGATTTGCAATGTGCTTAGAGTGAGATCGTCCATCAAAACGGAGTCGTTTGAGTGCAGAAGCTCCTTGGCATTGAGGCAAACAGCAAATGCTTCGTCGGATTTCCCCATCCTTTCCAAGATGAGAGCTTTAAGCGCCTAGGAAACATTTAAAAGCGAAAGAACAGAACACGCCAACTAAGTCAGCGGTTTATGGCAGAGCAAGAAGCAAAACGACGGCGGATTAAGGCATTTACCAGACAGTAGGGCGAATTGGGATGCTTGGAGAGGAGCGTGGAGACGTGCTTGAGAGCGTTCTTGAATTGGCGAGAATCGATGGCGTCCCAAATGGGTCGGACCCGCCGCTCCGGAATTCCACCAGCCAACCCGAACTTGGACGCCATTGGAGAGGTCTGGTTTTTTAGGGTCAGCGAGGCTCGCCGATTACAGAAGTGTGTCGAGTTTCTGTTAGTTTGGTTGGAGATCACTTGCGCTACTTGAAGCTTCGGAAAGCCACGATAATGGGGAAGAAGCAACTAAAGTAAAGAAGTGGAAAAAAGAAAACCTAATCTGAGTGTTTGGATGCGGTGTTAGTCAAATCTCCGATTAGAAAATGATCCGGATCCTGCACCTCATCCGAGTACCGGTTTTGGACGTTTGGGTTGTTAAAAATGTATTGTAGATATTCCATTTGAGGCACGCATCCTCAAATAATTCTTATATATAATATATTTAATAAAAGGGGGACTTAATGTATAATATAGATGAATACAGATAATGTTACTTGTAATACTATGCAATTGATTCATACATGTTATGTACATAATACCCACACAATGCATTTGTATTCAATGACTCTTCCAACAAAGTGAAGACGGATTATACTAGACCAAATGATCATTACTATTTATCTAACATTTGAAATGAATAAAGTAGATGACTCTTTAATGTTGTATAATTGAGTCATTTTTGACTTTATGGCTTATTTTGTTGGAGAAAAATATGATAGATTGCATTCAAGCCTAAAAATCATCAATCACAAGAATCAATACTAATATAATCAATTCTCATATTTATACATAACCTAAGAAATTTCGGAAGAAAAAAAAAAACCGCAAGTCTGGTAATGTTAGATAACCTATTCATTTCAAATGACCTAAGACGGATTATACCACACCTATTTGATGGAATAAGTGACTGTTAGTGCTCGTTTGAGGATCTTAAATATGATAATAACATTAGTTACAAGTGTATAATCAAATTATGAAAGTTAATAAATTTCTATCCTTGAAACATACTCATGTATACTCAAAAAACACTATTAAGTGAAGTATCATAAAACCAAACATGCTCATGGAACTTAGCGGAATCCAATACTTGTCACATGTCAACCCCGTTCGAAATGTGGAAGTAACAACCATCCAATCCAAAAGTAAAAGCAAGTACAATACTCCAAACTCCCAATGGTAAAAATATCCCGTCGTGAACCCGAAGATCCAACGAACTAAACCCGTCGTTTTCTCTCAAGGTTTTATCGTTTCTCAGCCCACCCAAAAATCCATGTGACCCTCTCTCTCTTCCACACTCTTCCGCTCGCTCAGTCAGATCGATCGTCTTCTCCAACCCACCTCTGCTACAACAGTCACACTTCTGCCCGTCTCTCTGACCACAAAATCCGTCAAAACCCTAATATGCCCCTCATCACCTCAAATCAAGCTTTGCTTCGGTTTTTAGATTAATTGGAATTGCTTGCTTTGCTCCTGCTCCTTCTTTTTCCTTCTTCTTTATTGATTTCATTTTGGTGGAGGAGATGATGGGCTCTGAAAAACAGGGCATCGAAGAAGCCCAGCTCTACGCGTCCAAGGAAGAAATGGAAAATCTCGTGCTCGACGAGCCTTTGAACGGCAATAAATCGTACTCGAGTTATCGCAGCGCCATGTCGTCGCTCTCCGATACCCACCACCCTCTCGCGTCGTCGTCCCCGCTCGTCTCCGCCACCACGGCCGCCGCCCCAGCCGACGCCGATCCCCTAATATCGCCCCTACCGTACCGCGATCTCCGAAACCCTAACTCCGCCCCCGATAACTCCACATACCTCGACCCGCCTGCTTATGCC